GGCGGAGCCGTTTCCGAGCTTGCCGGGAGCGCCCCGTCTGCCAGCGGGGCTGGAGCGAGCTGGGCGGGGCGCTGGGGGGCCTGGCGAGCCGCTGGGGGTGCAGTAGAGCCACCGCACTCGCCAAAGCGTGCAGAGCGGTGCGCGCCACGCAGGATGAGTGAACCCCGCTTTCTGGGCGGTGCTGAGCAGTCCGCCTTTTCCTGGTGCTCCCTCTTCCGCCCACTGAGGTGCTCATTCCAGCTTAGGTTAGTTTTCAGGTCTATTTTAGGTCCTACATCCCAAAAGCAATTTACATTGCACCCCATGCTTCAGCTGTTTCACTGGAGACGACCTTTTCCCAGCAGGAGCCCAGAGGAAGTCAGCACCCAGTACCCAAGCCCAGCCTGGCCTCATCCACCTGTTGAACACCGCCATGCCTCGCGGTGGGCGCCAACTTTAGCCCAATGCCTGTGCCCGTGGGCCCCGAATTCTTCCCTGAGCCTGGGCAGCAGGCCTGTGGGGTGGGTGGAGATGGTGCTTGCCTGTCAGAGGCAGTCTTGCCGGCAGGCATACGGGTCCTTCATCCTTCTGGAGCCCTTGCTGGGCTCTGCATGCCTGGGAGCACTGTCAGTCTGGACCTCCCAGAGACGGGTAGCTGTTTCCACCAGGGCAAAGAAGCTACGCAGCCCCTGAGGCGGGGTCTGGAGCCTCTAGAGGATGGTGGACCACCAGACTAAGACCAGGTAGCCTGTCCTCCCACTGGCTTCTGGGGGCTGCTGCCCTAGGAAGGGGGGACTTGGTAGGCAGGAAAGGCAGAGCTAGGAGTGACCTTGCAAAAGCTCCCCCAGGCTTTTACCACTCAGGAGTCTGGTCTAAGATCAGCTTGCCTGAGAGGCCAATCACAAGGCAGCAAGTCTGAGCAGAACCCCCACAGCCCTCCTAAACAGCTCGGGGTGTAGCCTGGCCTCCTGAGCTGCTGGGATGAAGATCAGTAGGGAGCAGGAGAAGGGGGAGGACACACAGTCCTTTATCTCCCTCAGCCTAGGTGATGAGGCTGGCAGCCATTTTCTCCTGGCCCCTTGGCTCCAGGAGGAAGCCACGTGTGTCCTCTGCTGTTGCCCCCTGGAGCAATTACCAGGCTAAGTGCAGGGCGCTGGGGCCAGGCCAGGCCAGGCACAGCCAGGGCTGCCCCATTTTGTGCCTAAATCTGTAGCAGTTAGAAAATGGTGGCCCAGAAGGGGACAGGATTCTTGGCCTTCCCCCAGGGAGGGAGTGGGGAGGCAGCTGTTCCCCCACCTCCTTTCATTTTTAGACCCACCAGGGGAGAGGTTGGGCCAGAAAAGAGGGGTGGGGTAGGCTCCAGCTGTGCCCCCAGGCCTGGGTTGGGGGGGGGGGTTGGTAAGCAGGAGGCAGGATTGGGCTCCTGAGCCCTCACTTCCCCCATTCTGGAGGGGGGTGGGGTGGACATTTGAAAATGCTTTCAATTGACATCTGAGACAAATTCTTCCACAAGGTTTATAAGTCCCTAGACTTGCTGCTAGAACTTCCCTCTTCCCTCCAGGCACGCACACATGCACACATGCTCACTCCTGCGAATGCTCGCACATGCGCTTGCACACACACACAGTCACACACCTCCCACCTCCTTGGCCCACTGCAGCAAGTTGCTCGTGCATGGAGGGCTGGGCTGGAGGCTGGGTCGGGCTGGCAGACCCCTCCACTGCCAGCTCCTGGCCTGGGCTTGCTGGGTCTGCTGGCTTGATCCCTTCTGGAAGCCCTGCCTTGTACAGGTAAGCTAGTACCCTGTTTGCAAAATCGGGGAGTCCAGTCATCTGCTTGAGGTGTCTGAGACACGGTCTCTTGAGGATCCTGACTTCTTCTGGCATGGTAAGGCAGAGAGGACCACCTGTGGTTTTCCTCTAGTGGTTTGGCATGCTCACAGCTCAGGGGAGATTCTCCCGTTGCCCTGAGTGTCTTCAGCGTGGCTTGGATCTTGCCTCTGTCTTGGGGAACTCCTCTGTGGGAGATCAGCTATGAAAGGGTGTGGGTGGCTGAGGACTGTGAGCTCTGTCAGTAACTCTAGTGAAGTCAGGTGCCCGGGAGGGAGCGGTGCCCCTGCAGGCAGGTGAGCATGTGGTATGTGTGCACAGGTGTCTCCTGGGCCTCAGGGGCTTGGGCGGCCTCTGTGCGGGCTGTGGGGTGTTTCATGTTTTGGTGAATCCATTGTCACACACCATCACACCACTAGCTTGTGGAGAGAGGAATAGAGTAGGGCCAGTGACAATAGTCATAGATGAACTCATGTCAACCAGATAGCAACCTCTGAAATAAGAAAACCAAGGCCAGAGGCAGCAAGCAAGTTGCTCAAGGCCTCAAAGCTTGTCAGTGGTGGGGCCAGGCTGTGGGCACAACAGGGTGGTCCTAGGATTGTGTTCTCCATGAGTCTCCTGGACTGAATTCCCCTCAGACCCAGTTATCAGGGGAATGCAGGCCCAGGCAAGGCTTAAAATACCAAAGGAACCCAAAGCTCTCATGGCACGCTCCTGTTTTCCCACAAGTTGGCTTGAGGCCTGAGGGCTTCCACAGACATGTGCCCCAGAGGCGGCATCTCGCTGTGTGTGGAGCAGCAGGTAGGGCTGCAGGTCTGTCCTTGAAATGGAATCCCAGAACTTTAGTTGTGTGGACTGACAAAGGACAGGAGGGAAACTGAGCCAGCACTGTGGCAACATCCTCTTTTGTGACCTGATTGGGGTTTCCACTGCTCATAGTCACTAGGCCCAAATTTCACAGGATCACAGCAGAGGGGCAGCTGAACTGGGAAACTGACTCAATTCCTTTCGCAAGCACGGACTGCAGGCTTCTGGAGCTCAGAAAAACAGGCAGTGCAGCCCTGTCCTTGTGCAGGGGAGGCTGAGGTGGGGGCTGAGCGGGCTACAGGCACACAGGCTGACTAGCTGAGATCTGGTGAGCGGGCAGGGCCTCTCAAGGCCTTTGCCCCCGTGCCCACACTGGGCTTTCTCTCCTGGGGCTCTGTCCATCCTCCACCTCACCTTGTGGCTTCCCTCAGGAGGATGTTCCCCAGCTACAAGGTAAAAGTCACAGGCATGAACCCCAAGACCAAGTACATCCTGCTGATCGACATCGTTCCTGCGGATGACCACCGCTACAAGTTCTGTGACAACAAATGGTGAGCGGCCCCCAGCCCCCGCGTCACCCTTGGGGTGTCACTGCCTCCCTCAACTCTTCTCCCCATCATCATGCCCATCCCCACCTGTGACTAGACTAACTTTCTTTACTCTGGTCTGGGTTAGGACTCAGAGCAGCCTCTGGCCAAGGGACCCCTACTGATTACTTTCTCACCATTGTTTTGGCGATTTGAAAGTTGACTAGGTCTTCTGAGATAATGTGACCTATATCGATATTATGTAATAAATTACTATAATTAGTATAATAAATAATGACATTTAAAGTGTCTGAAGCAAACACAGAAGTGCCCAGATCTCCCCACATTATCTTTGGGATGAACCCTCATTCCCTGCATATAAAACCAAATGTCTCTTTCTGCTGCAGTAAGAGGCTGAGAATTGCTGTTCCCTCCTGAGCACTCTCCTCCATCCCTCAGCTAAGAGAGGGATAGCACAGGCATGACCTCTTTCTCAGCTCAACAGGGTCTGCTCTCAGGGGCCAGAGAATCGAGGCTCCTAGGCCCCAGTGTGGTCAAGGGCTGCGGCCCCCTCTGCTCTGTTGGCAGGATGGTGGCAGGGAAGGCCGAGCCCGCCATGCCAGGAAGGCTCTATGTCCACCCGGATTCTCCTGCCACGGGGGCCCACTGGATGCGGCAGCTGGTCTCCTTCCAGAAGCTGAAGCTGACAAACAACCATCTGGACCCCTTTGGCCATGTAAGAGCTGCGGGGTGGGGTTCTGGGCAGGGTGGGGATGGTAGGGCTCTGGAGGATTTCTCCTGAGCCAGCCCCAGGCCCATACACCTGCTGGCAAGTTTGTGGAGGGAGCTGAGTTGGGGGTCCCACGCACAGCTGTGCGTGCTCCTTTGGCACTGCCTGCCTCCAACGAGGCGCTGAAGCTTTTCTGAGCCTAGTTTCCTTACCTGGAAAATGGAGGCGACCCTGTGCACCTTTCATGGTTGAGAATTAAATAAGAGAATACGCACAGAAGGCCTTTCAACACAGGGCAACTGTGATGATGATGATGGTTCACCTCTCCCTCCGGGTTTCCCAGTTTTGTCCTGGCTGGGGCGTAAGAGAAGAACTTCTCAACAGAGTCACTGATGACCTGAGGCCCCGCTGAGGACAGGGGAGCCAACCTGGCCCAGCAGCCAGCCGCCTGCCCTCTGAAAGGGCAGAGCGTGCTCTGGCTCCTGAGTCAGCTGCTTCCTGGCCTGCGGGGACCTGAGAGCTCTGGAGCCCCAGGATGCTGCTGTGGATGCCCCATCCAGGTCGCGGGGCTCATTCTTTCCCCATCTCTCCCTGGCAGACCCACAGAAAATGTTTTATGTGGAAAGTTTTAGCAAATGAAGGCTGGGGACCTGGCATCGTCATCTGCCAGGGCACAGGCCCTGCCCCGTGAGGGTACCCATGGTTACCCTGCAGTGGAGTGGGGCGTGGTGGGGTTCAGGTGTGGCCAAGGCTGCCACAGCTGGGGGTTGCTTCCAAGTGTGCCTCTTTTATGCCTTGGTTCTGCTTCCTGGGCCCCACGTGCCAATCAGAGTTCTGTGAATCATAGTTTGTCAATGGAAAAGTCCAGCAGTCCTTCATTTCTGATTGATTGGTTATGTAACTGGCAAGCCTCTCAGTTCTAATTTTCTATTCAGTTCTCTTCGGAGTCTGATCTATAAATAAACTAGGCACGCACTTCATTGGCATAATTAACTTTTGACTTACCTGCTGGACAAGCAGCAGGGAGCAGGTGTGCTTATGAAGTCCCAGCCCCTCGCAGGGCAGGGGTCCAGGGGAAGGGCCAGCCACGCCCCTGCCTCCCAGAGCACAGGGCCTTTTGACTGAGGAGCACGGGGCCTGCCAAGTCTCGCTGGCACTGCCCTCGCCAGGACTTTGCTTCCACCAGTCCTCCTGGGCTTGGTCAGGCTGTGGCAGCAACTTGGAAGAGTTTCCCTCCTGTGTGGGAGGCCAGGGGACCTTGTCTCTGCCTACAGCTGCAGACACACAGTCCCTGGGGAAAGACCACTGAGTGACCATGAAGTTTGGCAGGAGCTGGATGTGTGGAATTCTGAAAGTGAAGCTCCGTGTCATGGTCCCCAGCTGCAGGAATGCCTCAGAGGACTCCCTCCCTCCCCCTAAATCCCTACAGAAAGTGGCAGAAGGAGGAGTCAAGTGGTTGAAAAGCTGGGCTTTTTAGAAAGTGGGAGAGGTCTGGCAGCAGCCCCCCCCCCCCCCACTGGCTTACCTCGGTGGTGGCTCTGCTGGGGCCCTTCCGGATTCTGCTTCTAGATTTGAGTCTGCTGTGATGCTGGGCGTGACCCTCCTACGCTTGCAGGGCCTGTGGGGCTCACCTATCCTTATCAACAGGGATACTCCCCATACTAGCTTCCCAGAAGTTGGAAAGAAGTCTTCCTCCTCCACCCCCAGTTACCCAAGGATATGAGTAGCAGGGCTCAGAGATGAGGTGACTGTTTCAGGGGATGAAGCCGGGAGTAAAGGAGCAGAACTTGCAGATTCCTAATCCCGAGTTCTTTGGCTTTTCCACCTTTCTGGACCTGGGGCTTGAGCTGTCATGTCTTCAGCTGTTTGGAGCATCTCTGGAGAGGAAGCAGCACTTGACCATGTAGGCACGACTGTGGAGGAGGGCTCACTTCCTAGACATGCCAGGCAAAGCAGCCCGTTTGACCCTGGCTTTCTGTGCTCAGGCTGTGCGGATGAAGTGGTCAGCTCTCCACATCCCGCTCTGGGCTTCTCAGGGCAGGCAGAGGGGGAAAGTGTCGTCTTGTACTGTGAACCTGCCTAAGTCCTGCCCAACTCACCTCTATGTTTTCAGTTTTCCCTGAAAGGTTTCAGAGCTCAAGTTGCTCTCTCCAGCTGACCGTATGTGGCCTCTCCCCTCGGGTCTCACAGTCGCCCTCAGCACCTGTCCCCATTTGAGTCTTCCCTCAGGAGAAGGCCCCGAGTCCAGCGGAGGGCTTGCACCTGGCAGCCTCTCCCATGGGGCAAATTAGGCCCTGCAGCTGGGCCGGCTTGCTACCTGCTCCAAAAAGGCAGGACTGGGTTCCAGCTAGAAACTCCTCCTGGTGTGGAAGGACCAGGGCCCTAGCGCAGGGCTGAGTTGCTTCCTTAAGACCCCAACTCTGCTCTACTCTGTGGCTGCTGAGGCTGCCTGGGCAAGGCCCCTCCCACTCTCCCACTTGTCAGTGTCCTCCTGCCCTCTGTGCTGGGTTCCCATGTGATGGCCAGAGGAGCTGGAGGAGAGCCTCCCTGGAGGATGTGGGGTGGCTGGCACACAGTCTTTTTTTTTTCTGCGGTGTGTGTGTGTGTGAGACAAGTGGGGATGATCATCTTCACCACTCTGCGTCCCAGCTACGGCTCCTGATGTGAAGTGTCGGGCTGTTCCAGGGACTGAGTTATGCAGTTGAGGGGCGTGGACAGCAGCACTGGGGCGCAAAGTGGGATGCGATGGTCCCCTCAGTGTCCTCGGCCACGTGGCTCTTGGTGCAGGTCGTTACTCCTGAGCCTTGGGACGGAAGCGCACACGCTGCTTCCTCAGGGAGGTGTCCACAGCCCTGTGCTCGCCAGGCTGCTCGCCCCGGCAGCACCAACCACAGCCGTATTCTGCCACGTAGTTGTCAAGTTTATTTTTGACCAGGAAATATAATCACGATTGAAAAATAAGTCACAAATAAATTAAAAAATCTCCAGGCCTCTCACCCACTTTCTTTGTATCTTCCGGCAGAGTACAGACTCCCGACGCCCTTCTTTCACACACCAGCACAGCACAGCATAAATGCTGTTGCCCCGTGCTCGGCAGACTTTCAGCTCGTGGACACCATCCATTCACGTAGAACTTCCTCCTTCCCTCTTTTTAAACATCTGTACAGAGTGCATTGCGTAACTGCTCTGTAAGTTATGAAAGCAGCCCTAATTGAAGAACTGAGATGTTTTCCTACATTTTGCTCATTCGTTAGGCTGGCACATGTGTTGTTTCACACCTCTGCCAAGTATATCTGTTCAGTTCACTGCTTCTTCAAGGATTTAGAATTTGTATTTTTGTCTTCCATTGAAGCTGGGGGATCCACCCACGGTCGCTGTAACCGCACAGACAGGGTGGGAGAGAAAAGTCTGGGAGTTTGGTTGGGCGGATGGGTCAATGATAGCTATCAGATTTAGTTTTAGTTTGCGATTCCTCAGGAGTGAGATGAAACATCTTTTTTATATGGATTTCCTCTGGGGCGAACTGTTCTTAGCCTCTGCTCATGTTTCTTCTATTTTTGTATCACTTACCAGTTTGAGGCGCTTTCCTAAGTTAGGAAGACTCACCCTATGTGACAGCAGTTGAAGGATGCTTCTCTACTTCGTCTCTGCCTTTTAACTTGGCCTGGACTAGTATTCCTGCACAGAAGTTTTTGATTAAATGTATTGGTTTTTTCCTTGTGGATTCTGGATTTTGAGTAATTGAAAGCTCTTATACACGCCTTACTTAGAAGGAAAATTTCTTATGTTTTCTTCTAGTATTTTATAGATTTATTTTTATATTTAAACCATTGATCCTTTTGGAATTTACTCTGGCATTGGACATGAGGTGTGAATCCAACTTTTTCCTTTCTCGAGAGTCATCCAGTTGTCCTGACACCAATAACTGCCTCGTTTTCTTTCCTCCCTGGTGTGGGATGCCTCACTCTAGACACTACAGCTCCGAATGAATTTGTGTCTCTTCATGTGCCAGTGCCTTAACTGTGGAGACTTCATAATAGGTTTTAGTGTCTGGCAAGGCTTGTCTTTCCCATTGTTTTTCTTTTTCAGCATTTTCTTGGCTAGTCTTATTTATTTTTTCACATAAACTTTAAAATCAACTTATAGACTTGAGAAAGAAGCTTATTTGTATTTTTTTAAGAATCACTTTAAATTATAAACTTACTTAGGGAGGATTGACAGGACTTCTCTTCAGTGAAGATTGTTTCTTGCCCTTAAAAACGAATATTTGAGTTTTCTTTGTCAGGTCTGGCACATCTCTTATTTGGTATTTCATCTTGCTTGTTCCTATTACAAATTATATATAATAACCTACTTTAACTACATTTTCTCACACTTCTTTCTTTTTTTTTTTTAAAGTTTTGAAAATGTATTTATGCATACAAGAACTGAGGTACAGGCCAGAGGTGTGGAGAGTGGTGAGAGGATTCACCAGAGACTGAGTAGGGAGCAGAACTGGCAGAGGGAGCAGTGAGGGAGACAGGAGAGGTCTGCTGCGCCATGTGGGTCACCTCGCAGGCCGGGGATCAAACTTGTTCTGCAGTGGCTGCAGACAGCTTCACAGTGCTGCGCTTTAAACCCTGCACCACCAAGGAGAACCCCCCCCCCCCGCCCCACTTATTTCTGCTTGAGCTTGGATCAGGCAGACCTCAGGGAGCTGGCGCACATCTCCCTCTTTTCCCACCACATTTGCTGAGCCTGCCAGTGTGCAGACCCTTTTCCTGTGCTTTGGGAGATAGAGGCACCCGCACAACTCCAGGTCAGGCCCAACCCTGCCCAACCAGGTGCAGACTCAAGCTCCCGCTAAGAGGTCAATACCAACTTTAACTCTGCCTCCCATTGGCTGTTAATCAAGGTAAGTGCCTTCACGTCCCTGACCCACAGAACCCTGTCTGTTAAAATGGGGCTAATAAGAACACCAACTTTATAGGAAGATTGTAAGGATGACCTGATGTGTGTAGAATCCTCAGCCTGGCACAGAGGATATGCTCATGGAACATGGGCTGCAGTGGCTGTGTGGCGAGAGAAGGTGGGAAGGGCTCCAGGCTGCAGGGCTCCTACCATGGGGGTGAGGGTAAGGTCTAGCTGGTCAAGGCCTTCGAGGGATAGTGGGCTCCCAGTCACCTTTAGGTTGGGCTTTTCTTCAGCGAATCACTCGCCAACCTGATAAGTTGTCTTCTTTTTTCTGAGCTGAAAATCTTGTCTCTGTCCTAACTTCTTCGCACGGCTGGAGAGGGTAAGAGGCATGATGGAGAAGGTAGCCTTGGAAGTGAGATTATGGCTTTACTATCTGCCGAAATGGACATTAGCATACTTGTTGTGTGGGCAGTATCCAGATATGCTGTGTTGTGATGGACAACAGGGCCTGGAGAGTCCTGGCTCCTTAGAGTGTTTGGTTAACACCTTACCATTAATTACCAAGCTCGTTGAGAGTAATGTGCCCTCCAGGGCCATCTGGAATCTTCTCATGAGTCTCCTTCTAGCCAGCTTTGTGACCTTAAACTAGTCATGTTCCCACCACAAGCCTCCTGTTCCTCATCTGTAAAATTAGGAGGTGGGACTGGAGTGATCTCTAAGGTTTGCCTCTCTGTGCCCTAATGTTCTGTGCTTCTAATGCAGATAAATCTGGGCCTCGTTGGCCAAGCATGCTGTGATGATCTCTTGGGGAGAGGGAAGTTTGGCGCTATCACAATTGTTAAAATAGAACAGGCTTCTGAATTGTAGCCAGGACATAATGAATCCCATTTCTGCAAAACAATGACGACAGGACCCTGTAGTGGAGTCTGTTGACGTGGCTGGCCCATTTGGCTTAACATCCTTTGCAACAAATATAAATGTGAGACTCTGGCAAAGGAGTTTAATGTGTGGTGCCTGAGGAACTTCCGAGTGAAGCCAGGTGTGTGAGTCACTGAGTTGGTCTTACATTCTCCAGGGCTGAAGGAACTGTGTCTCCAGGTTATATTTACATTGGCTTAAGGGGCAATGGGGGGTGGGGGGAGGGGAGGGAATTTCTTCTAGACATGTGTCCAGGCTCCAGACTGTCAGAGCCGGGAGGGGATTTGGGAACCCTTAGTTGCAGTCTTCAGTTTCCAAATGGGGACCCCCAATGGCCGAGGGAGAAGAGCTTGCTTAGGACTTGCAGCTGGTGTGCAAGAGCTACAGTAACTTCTGGGCTCTTTGTGACTTCTCTGTTGCTGGGATTGCACTCCCCTAGTCGCACCTACCTGCCCCTGCAGGCCTGGCAGCTTCTCTCTTCCCAGGTACCTCTCTGCCAGCCTGTCTGGTTCCTTCCTCTAGAAGGGGTGTTTGGCAACCCTCCCACCCAGTCACTGAGGACTTTGTCTAATGGGCTAAGGAGACCTTAGTCCCAGGGACAAAGATAGCATTACATATGTAAGGCATTTGTTGAGCCCTAAACACTGGTAGGACTCAGGAAGGGGTGGGGGGAGGAGAGGTGTACGGGTAAGGAAAGGAAATATGAAAGGTCCTGGTTTCAGGCAATGTACAGTCTTCCTGGATGCACTGCAAGGGCCCAGCGGCAGGTGACCTGATCTGTGTGTAGCAGGTGCAACTAGAAAAGAAAGGAATGCAGGTCCGGGAGAGGCTGTCCGGGAGCCCAGAGAAAGGGGGTGCCTGAACCAGGGCTGCTCAGAGGGTTGGGAAGGATTTTGCTTTACAGATGGAGTCACAGCACTTGTTCACTTGTGACTGCCTAGGCGGCCAGGCCAGAGGAGGGGGCTGGTGCCGCTCTTTGCCCTAAGATGTCCTTAAGGGACAACACAGCCTCACTAGGGTGCAGGTACCTCAACGTCTGATTTGGGTTTTGCCAGCCAGTTGTCCGTGTTCTCCCCTTTTGCCCTCCAACCCCAGGAAAGGGGGGTGACTAGGGGTAGGCTGGCCTGCTGGGGAACTGAAGCGTGTGAGTGCTTACAGATTTTTATGCACTTGCTATTTCTGATTGGAAAAATGCTCTAGATACTGTCTTGTGTCTAGCAAGCAAAGAGCTAGAGAAGAGGGACAGGCTATGTCTCCCACTCCTGGGGCACTGCCTTGTACTTACTAGTTCCTGTTTTGGCGTAAAGGAGCTGGAGGTAAAAAGGAATAAAAGATGTAGCCTTTTATAAAAGTTTATAGTCTGCTCCAAAGGACAGAAGCTACTGGAAAGGAGACAGTAGCCGAGTACTGATGCAAGGGCGGAAGTTCCCGGAATGGGGGCTCAGAGTCCTCTAGTGTCCTGGCAAGGCTAAGCCTAGGTGGGAGAACGGGGTGCACGGTCAGGAGAGCACAGGCACGGAGAGGGAGATCAAATCTCGGCTGTGAGAACGGCACGGCACGGAGTAAGCAGCCCACAAGCACTGGCGAGAGGCACAGAAGCAGAGCCCTCTTGCGCTGTTGCCAGGAGGGCTCGCTGTGCAGCCCCTAGGAACGCCGTCTGCCTTTACCTCTAACAACTGCAAGTACCCAGCACCGGCCATCCTAGGCTGGGGGTCTGGGCAAAGAACAGCAAGCAGCAACTCAGACTCGCGTGCCCTGCAGCGTTTGCTGCAGTGTGACTGCAGCACACACAAGCCACCCGCGTGCCCACGAGTAGGGGACTGGAGTAAGGGGACGTGCGGCAGCACACTAAGGAATACTCGTCACCAGGAGGGCGGCACTTATGCCTTTGCAGCAAAACAGAAGGTGTTTGAGGGGCTGCACGGGTCAGAATGACAGAGGCAAATGCTGGACTTTACATAGCAGATGAATCAATAGAGCAAAATTTTTATATCAGAACATTGATAAGTTGGGGCTACAGAGGCTAAGAGGGATTCAGAGAGGGAGAAGTGGGGAGAGAACTTGATTCTCAAAAACAATTTCTGACTGACTAAAATTTGGGGAGCTCACCCCCCAACCCCCACATTAAAAACAGTGAACAGCTGAGGGAACTGTGTGTGCAAAGGTGCAGAGGTGGGAACCTGGGCGTTTGGGGGGTACACCTGGACTCTTCCCGTGTAGTCAGTTGCTTCCCGTGTAGTCAGTTTCCTTTGGGAACTTGAGGTCCTTGGTGGTCTCTTACAGCTTGGGGAACAATGCACCAAGACAGAGTAAACCAAGGGGGCCAGGGGTGACCCCCAAGACCCAGTTCCTCCACTCAGAGGGCCAGTTCCTATCTCCTGGGAAAAGATGTCCACGGAGGCCTCACCAGTCAGGACATGTGTCCCTCAGTCTCACTTGGAGTTTTTGTCAGGCAGACTGCCAGTTGGGGAGTGGGTCCCCAGATGCAGAAACTGATTTGAGGTTTTGAGACACTCTGGACTTGGCCCCAAGAGGGTCTGGAGCTTTGTCACTGAGGGTTGGTGCAAAAGGCAGAAAAGCCAGCTCCTGCTGGAGGGAGCCACCCAGCCCACTGGGGAGGACAGGCAAGGCTCCGGGAGCCCCCAGCAGAGCTGGGGCTAGGGCCCTACCTCTCCCCCATAAGCCCCCCCTCCCGTGGGCTCCCCTTGTTCCCAGGGTGTGAGGAGAGCGGAGCCTCCCCAGACACAGGCCTCCACCCAGGCTTGCCTTGGGAGAGCCTGACACAGCCCTTGGCACTCCGGTTACTAAAGCGGCTTCAAGTTTTCACCAGACTCCCCTGGGGCCTGATCCCTGGGAACTGGAAGGCTGGCAGCCAGCAAGGTCAGCCCGAGGAGGAGGGTACTCTGAGGTGGGCAGAAAGGCGCCCAGAGGGGGACAGGACGGAGGGCCATTCTAGCCCACCCACAACAGGAGCCAAAGGGTTAACAAAAGCAGCCGGTGCTGATAAAATGCCCCAAATTCCTGGTCCTGCCTCCAGGGGGGAGGGCGTCTGGCAAATGTCAGCGATAAAAAATACATTTTAATGGCACATGATGCAGCCGCTACCGTGGTGCAGCCAAACCAAGCGGGTTGGGAGCAGCAACTACTGTGTGTTCCTCCTGGGTCCTTGGGGCACCCGCCTCCCAGAACTCCAGGTGTTCCGGGGGCCCCAGAGTGCCAGGCCTTCTCTGACATTATTTGGAGAATTTTGCTTGCATCCTACCTTGTCACGGTGAACTCACACCGGTGATGGAGTTTCCCTCCAGGCTGTGGGCTGTCGGGCAGTCCCAGCACAGACATCTGCGCTCCCTGGGCAGGCCCCTGCGAATGCTGAGAAATAAGAGAACCAATGAGTGAGTGGAGGAGCAAGGTCAGAGTGGGACATTTTCCCCAGCTCCCCCAAGCCCCCATTCCACAATCCCCTGGGCTGTGAAGCTGCTTTTGTTGCTAGCAGATGTGAGAGGAGGGGCTGAGCACTCATTCTGCAGAGGGTGCTTCTAGAAAAGGCAGGACAGGAGGGCAAGGGGAGGCAGAGTGAGGGAGAAGCACAGGGCGGGGCCTGCAGGGAGCACCCAAGGCAGGTAAGTTGGGTCAGGATCCCATTTTACAGATCTGAGAACTGAGGCTCAGGAAAGCCCCATGACAGGGCTGAGAGCACAGGAAGGTAGTGGCACCCTGGGCTTTTGCCTGCAACTCAGAATTGCACCTATTGCACAATGCTGGCTCAGCTGGGGCTTTCAAGTGGTTAATTCTCCACCACCACACTGAAGCCATTGGGAACTCAGGCTGCCCCTGGAGCAAGTAGTTAGTGCTAATGGGGATCACGGAGACTGACTGTGGGGTTCAGGAGCTGGTTCACTGCATCAGAGCTTTTGGATCTTTCTGGACTTGGTCCTGGCGCTGGGCTTTCAGGGGAATGGGTCAGCCTGGAGCCAACGGAATGAGTCCGGGGTCCCGACGGTGGGAACCTGCAGCTCAGACTGAGGCCTCTCTCTTCCAGATCATCCTCAACTCCATGCACAAGTACCAGCCACGGTTACACATCGTGAAGGCTGATGAGAACAACGCTTTTGGCTCCAAAAACACGGCCTTCTGCACCCATGTCTTCCCAGAGACTTCCTTCATCTCGGTGACCTCCTACCAGAATCACAAGGTACAGCCACAGTCCCCCCGCGCCTCTCCACTGACACGGCCCTGCCATCTGCCGCCACGCCGCGGACTGAAGCCCTTGGTGTAGCCCAGGTCCCGGTGCAGGGACTGCAGAAACCTGCTGTGCCCCTCAGAGTAGCGAGAACGTTGAATAACGAGCAGGAAAGGAGAGCAGGCTCATAAATCTCTGGTGCAAAGTAATTAGGTCTCTGTTTTGGGAAGGGACGAAGTTGACATCTGTAAAAATCAGGAGCATGAAACTTGCTACAGTCTTCTCCCTGGTGGGGGTCAAAGGTAGGATTCAGGGCCTGCATTGGGGGAGGGGGGTGGGGAGAGGAGCCGTGGGGAGCACCAGCAGCTGCATGGTTACTGAGACTGAGCATCTGAGGACCCCCTGGGTTGAGGTCAGAGTTGGGCGCCTCTCACCCGACAATTCACCCTTCCCCTTCCTCCTGCACCTCTGCTTCTGCCCACACTGACCTCCTTAAGGGGGTTTCCACTGGTACACAGCGGAACTGATGGGGTGTTGGAGCTCTCAGAGAGGGTGCGTTGGGCCATGGTGAATTTTAGGCAGAAGAGACAGAATCAGATTTGCATTCAGAACAGTTACTCAGGCATGGAGTGTCCTAGGCGGAGGAGGGGGTGGGGCGAGGGGGTGGGGAGCGGGAGTGGGGGGCTTGCCGGGGGTGCTGAAACTGTGACAGGCGCCCAGCACCCAGGGGAGAAGCCAGGTAGCTGAGAGGGGTGGAAGAGTTCTGCAGGAAGTAAAATGAGCAAAAGCTGGGATGAGCCAGTCAGGTGTGAATGGCAAGGAAAGGGGTGTGAGGGGGTGGGGGGACAGGCACAGGCCCTGCTGTAAATCCTCCCCCCTTGCTCGTTGGGGCTGCTGGCGTGGGCTGCTAAGGATTCCAGGGAGGGGACACGATCCCCTGGGAAGGAGGTGCTGGGCCTGGGAGCCCCCCTCCCGGGAAGGAGTGAGGGCTCTGTGGGAGCCCCCCTTTCTTGGAAAGGCCCAAGGCTTTAGGTGCATTCCTGGTGAAGCCAGGGAAAGTCCAAGTCAGCGGAGTTGTAACTGGTTCTTTTCAGAAGAGGTAATTCCCTTTTATGCAAACACTTCAGGGCAGACATTTGCATATGAAGTAAATGTGCTTTTGGGGGAGATTTCTGGGATGTGGTGGTAAAGGAGGCAGGATCACCCCTCTTCTTCCACTTTCCACCGGAGGGCCGGGGGGCCCTGGCAGGGGCGGGTGGGGTGGGGTGAGGTGAGGCAGGAGGGGGGGGGGGGGGCTGGTGGGGGGGAGTCGGTGTTGGGGGGAGTCGGGGTTGGGGGGACAGGGAGTAGGGTGCAGACTAGAAGTGGGAGAATCCACCAGAAGCCCTGCCTGGGGAAGACTCCCGGCCCCAGAGCACAGAGTCTCCCTGCCCCGAGAAGGGTCTGGCGGTGTGCTCGCCTGTAGCCTGTGTCTGGATGCCCCCTCAGGCCTGCGCCCTTCCCCGACTGCCCCCACCCCCTTTCTGGACCTCTGAGGCCAGGAGGCCAGGCGCCACCGCCCCTCCCGGGACGCTGGGGGCGGCAGGCTGGGTGCTGCTGTGCAGGGTTTGGAAGGTGGGGTGCAGAGGCCTCTTGCTGACTGAGGGCCTGCTCTGTCTCTGTCCCTGGCTGGGTTATGGGCTGTTCTGGTTAAAACAAGGCCCAGAGGACTCCTTTGCCCGCCTCCTGCTGCCCTGGGTCTGTGCCCCTCCCCTTGAGCTGGGTGGGCCACGCTGGCTTCTCAGCGAGGCTGTGGGCAGCTGACCCCTGACCCCTGACCCCGCCAACGGCCTTCTCAGCCCAGGTCATAGAAAGCCAGGGGCCTCTCGGTTGGGTCTCTGGGGATGCTGTCTCTGGTGGTCATCTGGGGACTCAGCTGGGGCCTCCGGTGACCCTGGGCAAGGCTGTGTCTTTACCCGTTTCGGGATTTTTTTTTAGAAGAACTTACTGGAAGGTAGTGAACAATGACTTGGTCACTGTCTCCATGGTCTCCCTGGTCTCTCTTCCCTCCCTCCCCCTCCTCCAGGAGACTCCTGGACAGCCCAGGGCTGTCCCTCTGAGATCTGACGCAACCGGTTACTCGGGCCTTGAGGTCTGGGCCTGGACACCAGGCGGCTATCCTGCCATGTCCCAGAATCTGTGGCCCACTAGGAGAGCCGGGCTCTCTCGGGGTGGACGCCCTCTTGTGGCAGACCAGGGCAGGTTGGCTTGGATTTGGGGTGGTGCTAGGGCCCTGGTGGGGCCGCCCAGGAGGTAATGAGTGGCAGCCCTCAGGTCAGGCTCTCCTGGGGCACTGCTGATTATGGAACAGCCTGGGGGCCGTGTGTCGGGGCACCAGCCCACCAGGCAGTCCCTCCAGGCAGAAGTAGATATTTGGAGCGATAAGGCAGGACTTATTTGTCACCACCAGTTAACACAAGCACAAGCCTGGGGCAGAAACAGGCTTCAGTTCCTTCTTATAATTTTCCAACCTGCCGTTTCTGCCCCCTACCGAGGCCTATAAAAAAAACGCCTTACCCATCCCTCAGGGCGACTCTGCCCCCCTGGGTTCAGAGACTCCCTGGCCACTGGCCCTTAAAAAAACCTCTCTCTTGTGAGGACATGGTGACCTTTTTTTTTTTTTTTTTTAAGATTT